TTGTAACCTATACACACAGCCCCCATATGGCCATAAATCCATACCGAATTTTCGTGTGTGGCCAATTAAACTTTCCAATGAATCCTGATCAAGTTCAGCAATCAGCACAATGCGAAAACAACAAGCATCTAGTATATAGTGGGGGCAGGTACAGATCACAAATTGTTTTATGCCATCAAACATCTGAGGCACTGCATCACCCTACTTCTACTAAAAGAAACAGAAAGTTCATACAGCTCAACATAGAAACAGAGTTTTGCATCACACATTAACGCCCTCCTGACATTAACCCTCCAAAGACAGTCAGCCTTGTACATAATTATAAAGGACAAACCATATCAAAGAGGTAGGTACTGACAGGATCCAAGGTGTCAGGTCTATCGCTCCACCATTCCTATATAGGTTAAAAGGAAAGGTTAGGGAAACCAAAAAAAAACTAAGTTCGCATACATGTTGACTATGACTATGCTTACTTGTTTTCCTTCATCTGAACCTCAAAATGCTTAAGCAGGCGGTGGTGTTCATCCAAGCCCTCGGAAACCTTATCGATCTTCATTAGTAGTCGTTCATACACATCTTCCTTCCCGCTGATGCGACTCTTCTGTTCCATAGCGTCTCTTGAATGAGTACTCGAGGAGGGATATCTCTGCAGACGTACAAAGAATGGATTTGTGTCAAAATTCAGTTAACGGTGACCGCCATGTTTTGGTATGCAATGTTTTGGTATGCAGTCCCTCAGTTTCAGAATACAAATTATTCTGGTTAAGTTTCATAAACCAGAACAGCCGTCATTCTCTTCACCTTTACACCCATCTAGCGATTTCTATTGATTAAATGGTCAAGATTCACAAAATCTTTCTTCACTTCAAATGATCAAGGTGAAGCACTTGCACATTCTGGTTCCACACTTGTGCATTCAAGACCTTATAATCATGTGTTCATCTATGTCATTGCACCCATCAAGTCTTAATCAAGACAATAGTTTCATAGTATCTAATTTGAATTGCAATTGATCACGGTGAAGAAAGGATATGATGTTAATTCAAGACCTAGCCACCACCTCCGTGCCCCACCTCCCTTCTTTTTACGATGAACCCGAGAGAACCTAACCCTAACCTTAAACCCAAACCTAACTCAATGGGCAGCAATGGCGGAAGAGTAAGACAACAAGAAAGCGGCGTACAATTAAATTGAATAAAGAACTTACGACAATTTTAGCGAATCCAAGTCTGACAAACTAGCAAAGCCCCCAAAAGAACGAACTTTACAGAGACAAGGCGGCGGTGGACAATTTAGTGATTTATTGATTCATGACATGGACGACTAGTTCCACAGATCAACACAACACACAATTAGACTCGCAAATCCAGGCCGTAATCCAGCAATCAATGGCGTTCAAGTCAAGTCGCCCAACTTTACATGCCCTAACCAGTCAAGCCCCCAAGGGTCGGAAGTGGGCGTAGAGGATCGATTACCTCTGTGGGCACGAAACTGCTGAGGAATCACCGCTCCATCAAGCACCGCTGTTGCTCCAGGAGTTGCCGGAGCCGGAGCGAGCGGGCGATGGACCGGAGGATCACCGCCGACGCCATGTGCAGGAGAAGTTGAGCCCGGAGTCCTGGAAAGGAGACGATCGATATAGGGGAACCGCAGCGTTAGAGCCAGGCGTGGGCGTCTAGGGCGCGTTTGCGACCCTGGCCCGGAGGCCCGACTGCGCCCGTGGGCTACAAGTTGCCATGTTTGTGGTCGATGGCCCGCAAGCGAGCCTGGCTTCCCAGAGCAAAAATCGACCTCTCCGCCTGGCTCTCTGGAAACGACCGAAACCCTCGTTTCTTTGGAGCCGAGCTCGTCTGCGACGCACGCGGGTGATTTTGGGCGGCGGCGGGGTGGCTCGTGCGGGCTCTGGCGGGAAGGGGAAACGTCTTCGCGCGCATCCCCGCTCTCCGCTCCCGCTCTGGCCGCCGCGCGCGAAGCGAAATGGCGGCGATTTCGTCGGCCTTTATATACGGGTTCCCACTCTCCACTCTCTCCTTCTTCCACTCGGTGCTTGCTCTTCCACCTCCCTCGTGAGAGACCGGCGGTGAGTTGTGGTGCGTGGCGGCGGCGGCGACCTCCGGCTGGTTGTGGGTTAGGTCACCGACGTCGAGGTTCTTCGCTGCGTCCCCACTCCGGCTGCTGCTGGGACTCCGTGGCAGCGGTGTTCCTCTTCTTCTCCGTCCGCATCTACTTCGTCTTCTTCCCGATCTGCATCCTCTACTTACAGATCTGCCTCCTCTCCGTTGTTTGGACCCCGAGCCAAGGTGAAATCGACCCCCAATCTTCTTTTTTGTGGTGCTTCTTGAAGTTCTTAGGGTTTCTTGTTCATTGCTGTTCATGATCTGTTAGGGTTTCATACTTGTTATAACTGCTTCATGCTCCTATTAGGGTTACTTGTACCTTGCTGTTCTTGATCTGTTGGGATCGTGATCTATTAGGGTTGTTGATCTATTTCAGATTAGTATTGTACCTTGCTGTTCATAACTGTTTGATGCAGTTGTTAGTGTTACTTGTACCTTGCTGTTCTTGATGTGTTAGGGATGTTGATCTGTTTCTGATTACTATTGCTCTGAGTTTTTTGTTTCATCATTGGTCGATGATGTTGTCTAAATTTAGTACTGGGAGGCATCGCATACAAGATGCAGCCATGCTTTTGTTGGCATGCATTCATTTCACATTCATGTTGATGCCTAGCAGGGTACATTAAGCTGAAATCATGTTACATTTATACATGCTTGTAGATGGATCTGTCTTTGAGCCATGACATGCTGTGTAGGAAGGTAGCTGCCTTGACTGTTGTTATGATTACCTTTGTATCCACTAGGCTGAAAAGGAAAACCCATGAACCTAAAACCCCACTGCCTGATCCTATAGCACTGGCCCTGATTAGGGATGAAAATGAACAGCACAGACAGAGAACACTGAGAATGATATACAATTCCACTGATTCAGAGTGTATTTCTATGATTAGGATGAAGAGAGTTGCTTTTTTTAAGTTAGTGAGAACTTTTAGAGAGAGGAGTCTTGTCACTGATAGGGAGGGGGTGTCAGTAGAAGAGCAGGTTGCCATGTTTTTATATGTTGTTGGGCACAACCAAAGATTTAGGGTTGTCCACCAGTCCTTTAGGAGGTCCATCCAAACTGTCCACAAGCACTTCCATCAGGTGTTGTATGCTGTGGGTGAGCTTATGAATGAAATGATAAAGCCAGCTAGCACTAGCACTCACCCAAAGATTCTTGGAAGCCATACATGGAATCCATATTTTAAGGTAATTGTATACCCTGGGTTCATTAGTTACATTAGACCTGTTGCAATGACTGACCCATGCTTTTTAGTATGTCATTGGTTTTATAGATGGGACTCATTTCCTAGCAAGGGTTCCTAGGCGCATGCAACAAGCTTTTAGGGGTAGGAAAAAGGATCCCACCCAAAATGTGATGGTAGCTATGAATTGTGATATGAAATTCACTTATGTCCCTGGTTGGCTAGGGAGGGCTCGCCCATGATGCAACTATTTTGGCAGAATCTTGTAGCTGAGGAAGATGGCTTGAGTTTGCAGGAAGGTAATTGCACACCAACACTAATTACATATTCCATGGCCTATTAACACACACTCTCACAGTAGATGTCTTGTGTAGGTAAAATGTTCTTGGTAGATCTTTGGGTATGCATGCAAAAAGGTTTCCTACCTCCCTCTGTGGGGTTAGGTACCATTTGTCTGAGTATGGCCCAAGGAACAGGCCCACCAATGCAAGGGAGCTCTACAACCTTAGGCACTCATCACTTAGAGTGACCATGGAGAGGGCTATAGGTGCACTGAAGGGCAGGTTTAGGATCTTGGACAACAAACCCTTCCACAAGTATAGGACACAAGTGAAGCTTGTAGTTGCCTGTGCCATTTTGCATAACTAGATCCTAGGTTTTGGCATTGATGAAGTAGTGCCTGATGAGGAAGGTTTCATTACTTCTGCTGATCCAACCAACCTGCCCCCAGCCCATCTGGACCAAGACTATGTTGACATGGCTGAAATAAGGGATGCCATTTGCAATGCTATGTGGGAAGGGAGGGGAACAAACACTAGTTGATGTAATATGTTCTTGAATTTAGTTTCTGTACCCTGCTATGGAACTCATGTGTGTGTCATGGTGATGTAATAATTTGGTGGACAAAGCTGAGACCAATTTTATGCTTCATTCATTCTGTTCTTGAATCATTCTGTTCTTCATGATCTGTTAGTCTGTTGTTTATTCGTACAACTGTTAATATTGTTGTCAGTCTGTTCTTGACTAATTATGTTGTTGATTTCATTACATGCCAGTCCTAGGATGGATTCAGGTGCATTTGAGGGTGGGTTTGTTGCCGGTACTTCAGTGATGGAGCAGCTCATCAATGGTGGTTCTACCCCTATTGTAGTTGGTCTTTGGTGCTAGTAGTGTGCTGCCCTATTCTGCGGTGGTCTTTGGTCTTTAGTCTTTGCTCAGCAAACAAACCCTGTTGATGTTCTTTGCTCTGTGGCTGGGAATGAAATTTGTGAGGGCAATGAGGTGGACCAACACCACCTCGGCTTTGTGCTAAGGAGGATGGTTGCCCTTGTTAGTGATGGTAGCAGGCTGATAAGGTTTTCAAGGACAAAGATGTGAATTTCTGTGGCCAAAGCCCTCAAGTCTGCTACGTGGGGAGGTTGTTAGCCCAACTCAAGTGTACAACCACTTGAGGAAGTGGAGGCGAAATGGGCTAGGGTGAGCAAGTTGAAGGACCTTAGTGGTGCTCTTTGGGATGACCAGGGCTCATGCTATCATGCTTGAGCAAGAGCACTACCTTGGCCTTTGCAAGGTAGCAGTTTGATCTCGTCTTTGCCTTGACTACCTACATTTGCCTTTCTTAAACTATATTTGCCCAACTCTCTGGGACCATCCTAAAGATGCAGAGTTTCTTAAGCGCCCTATTAGGTTCTACACTGAGATGGAGGCTATCTTTGCTAATGACATGGCCCACAGCAAGTTTGCACTTGGGTGCAGGTGAAGCCTTAGGGCGAGAACCAGTGACATGTTGGTGCCAAAGTGATGGTCCTCCTTTGACCCACACCACAGTTCCAAAGTGAGCAGGGAGGGATAGCACGGCGGCCTAAACTGCGCCCTACCTCCTCATTGCTTGGCCCAAAGAGGAGAGAGGAACTTCTCCGAGGAGGAGATGCTCATGTTAACTAACATGTCAGATGCTGTAAACAATGTGGCCAATGCTCTTAGGGAGATTGGACCTGCCCATGTTGATGCCAATCTATACCTTGCTATGATGGAGATGCCTGGCTTCAGTGAGGAGGCACTTATTGTTGCCTACACCTTCCTCCTGGACAACAAGGCCCAAGGCAGATGCTTTGTGAACATGAGTGATGCCCACAGGGCCCTTTGGCTTAGGACCTTCCTGGCCAAAAACTACTATGTGTAGTTCCACTACACATGAAGGGCTAGAAGGCCAAGAGGGGGTTGACTGTAGAGATGTATAGTTCCTCCACCCCCCCCTCCCCCACTCTCTCTTCTTTTGACAATAGGACCTTTTGTGCAGTCTGCTTGTTCTTTTGACACCTGACCTTGATGGTGTAGTTTGCCTAGGAGGGTGGCTAACAATAGGCAAGGATTTGGGAACATTTGAGCCCTTGGCTGTTGGGCTGAACTTGGTATTGTAAGAAACTTATTTGTAGCCTCTGTTGGCTACTTTTTATTTGATAACTAGTTGCCTATTTGTGTTGTTTATGCCTCTGGTGGTAACTGTGGGATTTAAAGGCCTATGATGCATAAAACAAACTTGAGGTGGCTACCTTATTCTTGTTTTGATGGTTTTGTTGTTGTGCTTTCTTCTTTATTTGCCTATCCTTCCATTCTACACTTATGCTCAGTTGTACTCCACAGCAACCACATCCTCTTATGATGGCTGATGGCAGTGAGTGCAACTGATCAAAAGGTCTGTATGGCAGTGAGTGCAATTGTTGTTTATTTGCCTCTTTATTTGGTTCTTACAATTCTTGGTAGCCATCAATGACTAAACAAGGAAAAAAACCACCAAACTACTAAGTTGAGGCTAATTTTTTTATCAAGTAGCCGATGATGTTCACCATCATTGAAACTGAATGGTTGGTGAGGCATGTCATTCAGGGCCACTTACATGTTCTACATTTGGTTGGTTTGGAGAATGCCTCCTGCTATGTGGTATTTGAAGGGAAGAAACACGGGATTTATTTTACATGGTATGAGTGTGCTAAGCAAGTGCTTAGGGAAGAAGGGCTATCTATCGAAGTACAACAACTATGATGATGCTCTTAGAGATTTTAATGCAAGGGTACCTCAACAACCCTTGTTGTTACCAATTCATGCCCCTCATGGGGATGTGACATCCATGGCTGAAGTGATGACTCAAGGTTCGAAATCTATCCTCATTCACAGGGCCAAGCAATTTGTTGCAAAAATCTTTGTCATCTTGATCTTGTTTATGGGCTGTAGTTGGTGCATCACTCAAAGTTGTTCATGTGCCACATTTGTTGTTTTAATTAGGCCGATGATGACACAATAGGATGATTGCATTAGGCGGCTACATGCTTTTCTGTTAACTTGTTGCCCTTCTCGGCTTGCCAAATTGTTAAATGTTGTATTTTGGCCAATGATGACACAATGGATCGATGCATTAGGTGGCTACATATCATTTTCTTTGCTCTTTCTACATTTACGTGAACTTTTTCGTTTGTTGGCTTCAAAACTTGACTAGCGGATCTTTCTTGTTCTTCTTCTTGACTTTGATTATCCCATGTAGCCAGTAATACCATGAATTGTTAAACTAGCATGTCTGAGGCCAACTATTGCATCTTTGAAACTTTGATTTGTTGTTATAGCAGTTATGGAAGAGCAACCTCATTCTCCTTTCATTCATGTCCATTTCATTTTATTGTTATGGGCTGGCCGACCACGACCAAATGATAAACACTATCTCGGTGTGGCGATTGGTGGCGGTTAGCCTCTCAGTCCATTGCCTCTTGATGACAAACACGACCGCATGAGCCGGGCTCACCGAGTACCTGAGACATAAACAAGAGCGATTGCACCACTTGGGACAGGAACTCCGAGCCCGGCCAGTCACAGGTCGCAAGCACGCCCCTAGTGTCTCTGGAGGCCATAGGCTTGCTAAATCGGGGGAGCCCAGACGGACGTCGGGCTCTGTGTGTTTGTCAGCCCAGCAAACTTGGGCCACTTTTGGCCCACCACATGGGAAATGAGAATTTGTGCGGTTGTTCCTACTGTTCCTGTTGGATATGACACTAAATAAATATATTATGTTGCTAAAAAAACTAAATAAATATATTATAGTTTATGACGTAGCTAATGATACTAATAATAATATTATAAATCTTGGTACTTTTTTATAATTTAGTTAAGACGATTCTAAAAATTAATTTTATTTGGGGACGGAGCTAGTAGCCAATAAAAGTTGCACACTTCCTAAACTATAGGCGGCTGCTCTGCATGCTGATCCAAGGAGGAGGATCCAAGAAAGATGAATACATGACTAGTAATCCCATGGCTGTACTGTGTTGCCAGAGAAGAAGAGAGAGCAAATCTCCAAAAGTTATTAAGCGCCCTGTCCAAGCTAATTGTTCTGCTAATACTTAATAAAGAGTAATTTTGAGAGCATCTTTATATTTTTTCTTATTAATAGGGATAGCGATTTTGGTGAAAAATACTTTCAATAGCTTTTTTTATTATATCTCTAAATTTTTCATCATCTATTCTTTATTTCTCGCTAATAAAAAAAAAGTAGGGTTGACTCTCTGGCCCTTATCACTTATCTTATAATCCGTTTTTTTCGACTTGTTTTTTTCCGCCGGAACGGTGTTTTTCTCTCACAACAAATCAATCGGAACAGTGTTTCGACTTGTTTTTTCAGCGAAACGAACGGAGCCTCTAGAGTAGATTTTGGTTCAAAATATCTCTCCAAAATAATAATTTAAAGAGTAGGTTTAAGAAAGATGCTCTCGTGGATCTTTCGACATCCAAACTTCACAATATAGAACGGTTCAGATTCAGAGTTACCGCTTTCACTACCGCAGAGCTAACCGATCCTCTCCTCTCTTCAGTTCCGCGTCTTCAAGCTCTGATTCCCATGGAGGCAGCAGACGATGCATCCCGCAAATAAAGTTCGCAACCCACCCATTTGCTATTTGTACATGGCACTTTGCACATACGCCTCTCCCGTCCTCCAGTATCCCAAGCCCGTACGCCTCCTCGTCTGCGGCAGCCGCACCGCCGATCGCTTCTGCTCCCGTTGAATCGCCCCTCCTCGCGCAATTCACCCTGCTTCCGCTGAAATCAGGCCTAATTGGCCGTCGTCTGCCTTGCGCGCAGGACGCGGGGTGGCATGAACCCGACGGGGCGCGTGGCACTCCCACGCGCCGTTATGATCCTCGCCATCGGCGCGCTCGGGCTCTGTCTCCTATGGGTGGAATTCGCCGTCGTGGGCGGTGGCGGAAGGGCAGCAGACCCCGCCGTTCGGGCCGCCATGGCCGGGAGGAGGACTCACGCCCAGGCGGCCGTCAGGTCGCCGGACGCGTGGCGCAGCCGCGAATGGAGGCGAGCGGTAGACCACCATGCCGCCGTCTTCCGAAGACACCTCGCGGACGGCATGCTCTCCGCGTCCTCCCACGCCGTCTGCCTCGGCGGTGCCCAGGAGGCGATGGCGCTGCGGGAGCTCGGCGTGTTCGGCGCCGTCGCGGTCGCCAAGAAGCGGTCCTCGCCCCTCGCCGTCGCAGGAAGCGACCACCAACTCCCGTTCCCGGACTCCTCCGTCGACTTCATCTTCGCCGGACGCGCGCTCGACTCCTCCAAACGCCAGGCCGACCTCGCCACCGAGGCGGCACGTATTATGAAGCCGGATGGCCACCTCGTTGTCCTCACGTCCGGCGCCAGCGATGCCTACAGCCTCCGGTCCCTCCAGGCTCTTTTCCCGTCCCTCGGATTACTCCGATCCCGCGAGGCAAACGGCCGGGATGGCTCCACCCTCCGGGAGCTGGTCTTCCGGAAGCATGCAGGCATTTCCTCCACCACCACCAGCAGCACGTCCTCCTCCTCCCTCAACGGCAACAATCCCGCGAGCAACTGCACGTATCGAGATCACAAGCACCGAATCATCGACCTCGCTGAGCCGCTGATCCAAGAAGAGACGGCGAAGCCATGGATCTCCCTGAAGAGGAACATCAAGAACATCAAGTACCTGCCAGCGCTCGCCGACATCGGCTTCAAGCGCCGGTACGTGTACGTCGACGTGGGCGCCCGGAGCCACGGCTCCAGCATCGGCAGCTGGTTCCGGAAGCAGTACCCGAAGCAGAACCACACCTTCGAGGTCTTCGCCGTTGAGGCCGACCCTGCGTTCCATGCAGAGTACGCCACCAAGAAAGGCGTCACCTTGCTGCCCTACGCCGCCTGGGTCCGGAACGAGACGCTCATGTTCGAGATCAACGGTGGCCCAGCCGGCAAGAAGAAGGGCGCCAACAGTAACGCCAGAAAGCCGAACGGCCGTGGCATGGGCCGCATCAGGACGTCGGCCGGGGCGACCAACGGGGTGTCGTCAGGCGAGTTGCGGCGCGTCCCGGCGTTCGACCTCGCCGAGTGGCTGAAGCGGACGGTGTCGGAACAGGACTTCGTGGTGATGAAGATGGACGTGGAGGGCACCGAGTTCGACCTCATCCCGAGGATGCTCGACACCGGGGCGATCTGCCTCGTCGACGAGCTGTTCCTCGAGTGCCATTACAATCGGTGGCAGAGGTGCTGCCCTGGTGAGCGGTCGCCCAAGTACCAGAACACGTATGGCGAGTGCCTAGAGCTGTTCACCTCGCTCAGGGACAGCGGCGTGCTTGTGCATCAATGGTGGTGATTAGTTCATAATTCATAACTGACGGCATCTTGAACCGTAAACCTACATATGGGGGATTTTGGTGTGTGTCCCAACTGGATTTAACACAGGATTTTGGTGTGTTTCTGTAGTTTTGATGATCGATTCTTGTAGTTACATGACGAGATGAGGAATATATTGCAGACTAACTTCGAAGCAAAGGTATTGGTGAGTGTCACTGTTGTCCATGAGCAACTGAATCATTTTTGCAGGCTTGTTTACTGTCCATTTTTTTAGCCTTCATTCATTTGGCAAGTACTATTGTTTACCTGCCAGCTTTGTTCTGAAATGACAGTAGAAGCGTAACTTGCTGCTTCTTTTGAGTTATCCATGAATTTCGTCTAGATCATTGTTGAATTGCACTCCTTTTCTAACATTACAAATGTCGTCAGTGTGTCCCCACCCTTAATCTAAACTGTTTCTAAAACATATTTGGTTTGAACCTCCTTTCTAAATAATTTTAAAGTGGTTTAAACTGCTATCAAGCTCTCAAAACAAATTGAACCTTCCGCAAA